AAGAGCCCTCTTTTACTACGTGATAAAAGGTATGTAGCTTTTCTATGTTTATCACGATCCTCAGACCACACTAATAAAAACTACTAAACGACAGTAGTTCGCAAAAGAATCTTTGATCCATGTATTTTTTTCCAATTTACTTTTTTAAACATTTTAACCTCCTTTGGTGTAGAAAGAAAAAACATTTGCTTTCTATTCTAGTAGTCTATCCTTTTTATAAAACCCACCATTTATAGCGGGGCATTTAATTATACCACAGTGTCAATAACTTTTACAAAACTTGTAACCATTAATTCTCGCCAAAAGTTCTAAAAAATCCTTTTATACTATTTCCCTTTAACTGAGAAGTAATGACGCCAAATAAAATAAAGACCGATGCTATACTTTGCTGAAGACTTATTGCTTCCCCCCAGAAAATAAAAGCCATTCCCCCTGAAAACACCGGAATAAATAGAAGGAAAGGAAACACCGCCTGAGATTTATACTTTTTCGTTAAGCGAATAAGCAAAATCGTTGCTAATAGTGTTGAACAGTAGGCTGCTTTAGCAATACTCAGAAGTGACTTGAGGGATATATTCACAAGAGTAGTAACGTCTAGTCCCCCTTCATTGAGGAAAAAGAGAGGTGCCATTGAAACTGCAGAAACAACAGAAAGCCAGTAAATATCCTCCACCTTTCTTCCTATATCAAATTTTTTCATTAGAGTCACCCCAAGCCCCCAGCATGAAGAAGACACTAGTAAATACAAGATTCCTGGGTCAAAAGTAAAAACTCCTTTTTTTGAAGAAAGAAGAACAAAAACACCAATTGCAGTTATTGCCATCCCAACCACAAACTTAGAACTTATCCTCTCTTTCAAAAGAAGATAAGTAAATAAAGTTCCAAAAACTGCATTTGTTTGAACCAAAACAGAAGAGATTACTATTTTTGCGCCCGACTTTATGGCAAGACCTAGGAAAAAAGTGTTTAATATATAGGCAAAAAAACCAATTAATATCAACGGAATGATTTTGGGCCTTTTTTTAGGAAAAAAACCGAAAATATACTGAGTAAAAACACCCTTAAAAAGCTTACTTCAATAGGTTTCAATTCTTCTAATGCTACTTTTTGAACGACTATGCTTAAAGCGCATAAAAAAGCAAACATTAACGCGGTCAATGTATCTTTTTTTGACATTTTGCCTCCAGATCCATTCTACTATTTATTTATACCTCTTTTAAAACAATTGGTCTTTGAAAATATTTTCAATACCTCCGCACACAAAGTCTTAAGGGGATGTAGCAACAGTTTTGAACCTTTCTCGCGAAGAATCAATGCATTTTAGCATTTAGGAGAACGATAAACTCCTCTATCTGCCCATCTTCCTTGAATGGTTCTGGGCTCTTTTATAAGCATTGTTTTCTCTGGTCATTGATGTCACGCTAATTATCTTAGAGCCAAGTTCGCGTAAAAAGTCAGGAGAGTGCCGGATGTTTTAGGACCAATGCCAGGAATATTCTTTAAATAGAAGAATTGTTTTCAGTGCAGAATTCGGTTTTGTGAATTGGCTAGAGTGAAAAGTTAGGGAAGAATTTTGAATTGCATACCAAGACGTCCAAGATTTTTTATTGATGATTTTCTTGCTCGGGCTTCCTTTTGGTAAGGAAAGAAAATAGGAAAATTGATCTTAGCAGTAAACTTTAAGCATCTGCTCCTTCTTTGAATAACTCATTTTTGTATATATTTGGTATATATATAATTTTTTCATTGTCTGTAAAGTGGTGCGCCCGAGAGGGTGAGGAGAAAATTGATTAAGAATCAATTTTAGAAGGAACCTTAGAGCCGTAGGCGTAGGGATTCGATCGAGGCAAAGCACGCTTAAGAAGCGTGGTGCGCCCGAGAGGATTCGAACCTCCGACCTCAGGATTAGGAATCTTGCGCTCTATCCAACTGAGCTACGGGCGCGTATGTAGATCATATATAGTTGACCCCTTATAATTTTGTTTTACGTTGAGCGTTGCTTATTTATGTCTCAATACGCTTCAACAAAACTAAATATTCTCAACTATAACTTGGCACACTCTAATCAAAAGCGATCCCAACGTCGAGAGAGAAAATGTAGGAATTTAGGGGGATCTGTTTAATGGGAGCTTCCCTTTGCTCAAATGATGCTTTTTTAGGAGATGCCTAGCTTTTTCTGAAACTTTAGAGATTTAAAATTACAACGTCTTTAAAGAAAGTAATCATTAATTTTCATATGGCATTTGAGGTCTTCCCAATGAAAAAATAAGAAGAACCATAAAAAAACACTTTATTTCTAGTAGGTTGCATGGATTAAGCGTTCTGATTTGTTGTTATTAGTAGAATTTTAATTCATCTCCCTCTTTGTGAAGGGATGCATTTTTCATACAAAGTGGGGGGGTTATAAAATGAAAACCAAAGCTAGTGTGAAATTAATATATTGTGTTTTTAGTTTTATACTTTCTCTTTATATGGGAGCAGCTTTTGCTTCTCATGATAATAGGATTGAAATTTTAGAATTTCCAGAGTCACTCCCTTCTTATATGCCTGTTTCAATGTACGATCTTGATGACCTTATAATTGACCCCACGAGAGAGCATTATGTACAAAATGCTTTTAATCAAATGATTTTAGATCGAAAGACACGAGAACAGAATCAAGATTTACTTATTGAATTCGTTGGGAAAAATAAAGATCCGAGAGAATTTGATGGGATTTTTGAGCACCTTTTAGCTCAGGTTATCGTGCACGAGACATACTATAAGCGTGGGAAAACTTGGTGTAAAAAGAGTCGAGAATTTGTGAGCTTGTTACTTGAAAACACGTCTTACCCCGTAAGTTTGAGCAAGCTTTACGCAAATCTTGTTTTTATTAGCACTCTATCGAGCAGAAAGCGGGTGAAGAAAATTAAAACAGCGCGGCACTTTAAGGCTTCTGATTCTTCTTCTGAAGAATTTTTGGAAATTCAGAAGAAGAAGTTGAGAAGGAAAAAATCGGCTCGTGGTATGGAGGGGTATCAGGATAAAAATAAAGGGATTGTTGAGGTTGACTCTCGATGGTCACTCGTTTTTAAAGAGCTAGCGTTGAGAACTTTAAGAGAATCTTTTATGAAAAACCTGGACCCATTAGAGCCGAACAATCGTGTTGCTTTTTCAATTTTAGATGCTTTTAAACGTCGTGGGCATCACTTTCTTATTTTTCCCTCAGAGGCCCTTGATTTTTAAGATTCCGAATTATCTTTATTGCGTTTAAGGA